TTTCTTAGGATCAGTCATAAACGGTATGTAAAAAACTCATTTATGTTAAAATTCTAAAAAAAAAAAAAAAAAAAAAAGACTAATATAGCTTTTTTAATTTTAGGTTGCATATACCCTTTCTATATCCTCTTGAGTAGGATTCTGTCCAGGTCGACAACCGAAAAGAATATTTTCTTTGATTGTCATATCATATAATGATGGTTCCTGACTTACAAGAGCAATATGTTCCCGAAGATTGTTCACATTCATTGTAGCAATATTAGTTCCGTCAATTGTAATACTACCACCCGTTACTTGATAAAATCTTTCACTAAGACCTATTGTGGTACTTTTACCACATCCTGATGGACCGACTAATGCTGCATATTGTCCAGGTTTAATTTCTAAATTTAAACCTCGAAGAACAGGAATTTTTGGTCGAGTTGGATAACGGAAATGGACATCAGTGAATTTAAGATGACCTTCGATAGTTTCAAGCTTTTTACCACCTTGACGCCATGTATCAATTATAGGAACACGTTCTAACAATGAAATTATGGTTGCAGATGCAGATTTTGCTCTGGACATATCAGGAACGAAAGCAAAAACACGACCGGCAGACATTGATCCAAACAAAATGGCCATAAAGACCGTAAACATTTTAGTAAGGTCATATTCATTGTCTAGAAACAATCTACTACCATACCAAAATGCTAAAGCTTGTGTGAAAAAGTTTACACATTGTGCGAAAGCAAAGGTGGTGGAGGCAAAGAAGGCATTTTTAAAACCTTGACGCATAGGTTCGTCTAGTAAATGATGATATATATTCCATAAATCTTCTTCACGTGTGAGAGCAGCAACAGTTCGAATATTACTAGCACCTTCGCAAGCGATTTGCGCAGAATGTTCATAGGCTTTCTTAGTTTTTTGTTGAAAACCATTAATCATTTTCATACGTAATGCACCAGAACCAATTAATAAAGGTACACAACATAAGCAGACCAAAGTAAGCTTCCAACCAACTATAAGTGCTACTATGACACATGCAACAATTGTAACCGTCACTTGTAATATACCT